ATTTGAACCTTCCTAATAAAGCACTGGAATGGAACGCAGCGACGGTGTGGTTTTGGATTTTCGTTGAACATACGGCAAGTCACATACTCGAATTCGCCTCCGTGAGACCAGTGGGCTTTTGAACATTCCTGTGTTGCGACAATATTGGGCCACTACATCAAGCTCAAACCACTTCGGACAACGACGTGGGGAGCGAAACGGGAGCCGTGTACTAATCACTTGAATTGTCTGACCAGGCTGTCACGCTTGTCTATACGAGTAGAGGTATACAAAATACAGCTTTAAGTATAATCCTGCTAGCGGTTTTTTTTATATGTGCTGGAGAAGATAGATAGGAATGATCATTCATCCCGAAGGAAATTGTTGCCCAGAGTTACAAAAATACAATACACACAGCAGCACAATGAATAATCAAACGTACCACTTAACGGTGTAGTAAAAGGAGCAATTCAATAACTGACAGCGAAGCATACTGTAGGCGGCCCCGATTAGATTAATGTAAATATGAACCAGGTATTAGTAGAAAGGGGACTGACCTTCTGGCCGCCACGTCTAAGCAGCTGATCGATGGCTAAGCACCAGCATGGAATGGTTTGCTTACATCTCGGTGGCCAGATCTGTATGGCCCGTACAATCTCTCAAAAACTGACATTTGAAAAGAAAACATGAATAAGAAGGCATTAACACCGTCTGAAATCCTCATATATTCTCTATTCCTTAATCTTTCTTTACTGGCCGGAAGACAATTTTTACAATAGGCATTTAAATATGGTGCCCTTTGCCTTCACAAAAAAAGTAAATGCAAATGTTAAAACATTGCCTGAATTAATATTTCAAAAAAATAATATTTTTGTATTCGCACTCTTTGCACTTCAGGCTGCCGCCCAAAGTTATAAGTTTCTGAACGGCTACTTTACATTTGTCCTGTAGACATCACAGGGTGGGATTGACCTGAACAAAGACCACATTTGACGCTTATTTATTTTGGGATTTGTAGCCTTAGCCGAAACCTATACAACACATAGAAGGAATTTAATAGGGCCTCTTTGGAAGAAACAATCATTGTAAATCTGTTACCTTGTTAATGAGCATTAAAGCAGTTCGTGCAGGACCTCAGACACGTCTCGCCGTCTTCGGGGACTCAAACAGGAAGTCAAAACACGTCGCGCTCGATAACAACGTTTTTCTCAGGCGGAGTAGGAAGAGGCGACAGCAGCTATCCCCGCCCTAAATTTGTTTGGAGACAAGAGCGGGAGAACCTCCAAGCTGGACAGGAGACAAAGGAGAAGGAAACGGCCATAACTAATAATCAAACAAACTATATTTTTTAAGACAGTGAAAAACATGAACTGAGGAGCGGATCTTCAGAGCAATATGTACAACATAGACAAGCCATATGGCCAAATAATAGCGATACAAAGGATGGATCCAGGAGAAAGTAAAGGCTCTAAAGGTTGATTTAAGACGGACCGTCTGTCAGGGTTTTGCTGACTACTCCGAGAGAAGTACGGCGCTTGAGTTTTGCTAGAGTCCAGTGATACGGAAGGGGAATCTTGCAATAAACACCAAAGGTTCTTTATCAGCCATTCTTCTTGCCCGCCTAGTTGGCCGAGGGAGACACACTGGGGATCTGCAAAGCATTCAGCATATTGATTAAACTACAAAGCTACATTTGCATTTTGTACATTTTAGATATTTCACTGTAATTATCTTTTCTACTTGTTACTTAATACAGCGACTTCTAATACTTCAGCAGAGACATGAATACCTCTTAAAGTGAGGCTGGGGTCTGCCATTACAGTAAGTTTACAATTTGGCTTTCTATTATTTGCAACATGCTCGTGATTTTTTATTCATTTATTTGCCAATGAAAAAGGTTCAGTCTGGCGTGATTATTTCTTCAGCGTTTCTGCTTGTCCTTCTAAGCCATTGTAAAATCGCCAAACATCTATAGAGCTAACTTTTTAACAGAGGTGTTGCTGAGCATCAGCGAAGCGGAAAGATGAAGTGCCCTCATAGATGTCAGGATTAGGATCAGATCGGTCTACGCGTGCTTTGCTGAATTTCTGCCACGCTGACAATATTGAAAAGGGCAAGAGAATGACATGTAACGTACACAAAAAGCAGGGTGTCCAACTACGGCCTGCGGCCATTTTTTGAAACGGCCCTCAGCAAAGAGTAAAAGATCATAATAAACTTTCTGGCTTATTGTGTTACTTCTACCAAATTATAGTTCAAATATATCCTTTACACAGCTATTCATGTGGCCCCAGTTTTCAAATAATTCAGTCAATTCAGTTGAAAACAAGAAGCCCCCAATAACTTATTTGCATAACCTTGAATATTTACCCTTCATATTCCTCTTATTATCGTCAATCTGCAAGGCTTCTGTTTTAAGCGAATGAGCTTCTAACAAGATAAAAACCCTCTGGAGAGCCTGCTGATGTGCAACCGAAGCGCAAGTATCAAGAATAATGACACTACATTGGATTGATTTAGCTGAACCTATAACTGAAACTTATGGGGGCAATATACCCCTAGTGGGCCCGGCCCTTGTATATTTCGCTGTATGTGGCCCTCGGTGAAAAAAAGTCTGGACATTCCTTCCATTAAAGTAGTGTGTGTCGGTTGTGAAACAACGTCCGTAGTGAGCTCACATGCGGGTCTGGTAGACGGGGGCAGGAGAAAGTTCTTGGTGCTGAGGCAGGACAGGGGGAGGCCTGAGCTGCACGTTGGGCAGCAGCGCAGGAAACCATCGTTGACTATTGAAACTCACGAGTTTGAGAGGCCGGCGTCTCCAGTTCTTCCGGGGTCAGAGACGGAGGAACTCCGCCTCACTGAAGATCTGCTGGAAGTCCATCGCCCAACTCTTGAAGTTCTGCAGAAAAGAAAACGGGAAAAAAGCACTGATTCAATATTTACAGTTTTACAAATAGCGTTACAATTACAGTTCATTTTGTTTGTGGCAGTTGAATGTTTCCCAGGATGTTAGTAAATCACAGCAGGAATTGGTTTACTTACAAAGTATTTCTACACAGTTGTGTCACTACGTTTATATAAGGGAAAGACCACTGGCCCATTATAACAAAATTACACATTTTTGCCCTCACGCCCCTCCGTGAACACTCTCTGTCGCTTAAATTCTTTATGCAGGATAAGAAAAGCTCCATTAAGGAACCACACAATAATGTTAGGAAAAATGTAGGTATTCTTCCTCAAAAATAAACTGACGAGGCAACCCTTTTCCGTACGACAGACCATCTGCAATAGATGTGTGGTGTAACATGTAAAACATAACCAAAATGACAACATAGACAATCCATATATGACAAAATTTAATAATTGCTGACCATGAGGAACAGTAAAGGCCTAGACATATCTCAGCTAGAGCAGTAATGTATAGTGGTTTGAATGATTAGTATTAGATTTATTTAATCCACTTAAATGACTCTCTAAAGCGGTTTCAGAAACACAATTTGTGATATTATATGCAAACAAATGGTAAATGCTTATAGACATAGAACATAGAATAACATTGATGTTGTTCATTATGCCTGAGTGTCTCATAAGCTTTTTTCCTGTATGATGTGAGGGTCTTAAGGAGTAGGAGGGCTGTCGTTTTTCTCACACTGATAGTTCTGAACAAACTGTTGCTATTAGCTGTAAAGTGTCTCTACTGTAGCTATTTTTATTATTTTGAGGCTATCAGCACTTTTTGGCTCGACCACAAATCGGTTTATAAATGCTCGCCCCTTATATAAATAAAACAATTGATAGATTGATACATATTTTTGCTGACCATTGGGGTTTTATTTTTTAGGATAAAATCCATGTAATCTGGTCAAATCTGCAAATTACGAGTCACATTGAGACTCTATTATACACTGCCATCCCCTTTTTTCACAGATCAAAGATTAATCAAGAATAAAAACTAAACGGAAAGGGAAGAAAAATACAACACCACCGAATAGAAAGGCGTGAAAAAACATTGTAATTTCCATCATCCAAAGGTTTAATTTGGGGAGGTGAGGGGGGGGCGCAGGCCTCAGATGCATTTTGAGGCTAATAATTATTATTAGACTTTTTTTTTTGTATTCTTTTTTTTGACATATTAATTGTAACGCAATACATGATGTCACTAAAAGCCTTGTCTCTATATTCATAAAATAAATAATTGATTAATTAATTTGAAACAATTCAAGTTAGTAGCTATTAAAGGATAAAAGACAGAAGTTGATTAATTCTTTCTTTAATAGAAATGTTTCTTCTGCCGTAAAGTGTCCAAACCAGGCTTTTCTGGAAAGCCGCATTTTAAAACATCTTAGGTCATTGTCCATGCCGGTTTCCAGTTGGATTATTTGTTCACAGATTGCTCCGATCAGGATCGGTCTCTTCCATTTGTAGGATTATTCACGCTTTTGAATCCACATAAAACACATCCGCAAAATCCGGCTTACTTGAGCATGTGTTTTAAAGCAGTTTTAATCCCTTTGTGAATTGTTTCCACTTCCATTGTTTTCCGTCCTTTAATTTCTTCATACATCGGGAATCCAAATGAATGAATCCTGAGTCCAATAACCATCAAAGTCACTCCAATAGTGCTCCTTAATTACTTAACAAAATACTTCACATTCATCCAGTTTGTGACAGTAGTTGCGCCCCCCCTTGTGTGTGTGTGTGTGTGGGGGGGGGCAACTTCCAACAGGAGTAATTTGGGGGGGGCTCTCGGTGAAAAAGGTTGGGAACCCCTGGTTTAGGTGAATGTACTCACCACTGTAGTTAACTCTTTGATCAGCGTGTTCAGACGTTCGGTCAGCTCTAAGATCAGCCTCATGATCTCCTCCTCCGACAGCGTCAGGTTACTGCGAGCCGCACAGTGCAACACTTTGGCCACATTTTCCACCGCATCAGTCAGCTGGTAGGAGGAAAGGAATATGGGACAGGAAGCTCTTTAGGAAGGCTTTTCAAGAAGAAGCAACAGGTAAATGTGAGGATGAACACAAATGCTACACGCTCAACTAAAGATTCAATTGATTCCTCACCCCGCAAGGTCCCTCATCGAGCCTGATGCTGCAGACATCCTGGATCTCAGAGGTTTCATTGTACATACCATTGTCCAGATGGCTGCACACAAACAAGACACAAAAGTACATTTCAAAACATTATTTGACACTATCTTACAACCCCGAAACATAACAAATGACCGGAGATGGATTGAGTTAACTGTGATTTTTGACGACTGGCGACAGAGAAACTTCTCATAAAGCTAACAAACCCACAACCCTGACAAGTTTTATTTTATAAAGAGACTGACATGTTGGCAAGCAATTTACTTTTTTGCACATTTCAAAGATATGTATCAATATACGCATTCATTTGGAGTCACTGAACATATGTAATTTCAATATTAACCCTGCTTTTTGCTCTATTTCGGTCTCCACCACAAACTAAATTCACCACTTTCTACAATAGCACTCAGTCTTCATAATGGAGACTAAATGAATTGCTTGGCTATACATTTGACCTTTTTTCTAAAAGGTTGATACCTGGATGTTGATTTTATGCAAGTGAAATACTTTTAATTAAATTAAACTTTAATTTCCGATCGCCAAAGTTGAATGCAACCACTTTTCTTTACCTTTAGTACCGATTCAGGTGTTTGCAATGCATATTTTGTATATGCATATAGTCAAATATGATGATATTAGTTAATTATAAATAGTAAAACTGAAACAATGAGCTAGAATAAAAAGGTTCATACAGCTGCATTGCATTGTAGTAATCGCTGGAACTGAGCCATCATTAAGGTAATAGGAGCTTTCATTTGTATTGGATTAATCTGATGCTTTTATGTCATACTAAGATGTTAGGAGGATAAAGTATTTCTTCTAAAATGTTAGCTTGACTTACAACACTTGGTGGAAAGCCAGTGTGATTTCGTCTGGTAGCTCGGTCAAGTCTTCGGGCAGGACCCTCTGTAACACCGGCATCACCACATACTGGAACCAATCCTCCACATTCGTCACGTCAAAATCTGGCATCTCGGGAACCATGGATGTGTTTTTTGGGCGATAAATGTCTGCCAGCTCGGCCAGAGTCCAGTTGAGCATGAACTGGGTGAGAGTCGTGCTCCTTATTTCTGATTCCCTCTGGAGAAACACCAGCAGGTCAGGAGTTATTTTAACCATACAGTAAGATGTACAGTGTGTGTATCCATGTGCATGTTGATCATGTGTGTGTGTGTGTGTGTGTGTGTGTGTGTGTGTGTGTGTGTGTGTGTGTGTGTGTGTGTGTGTGTGTGTGTGTTTGTGTTGTACCTCTTGTGTGAAGGACACAAAATCATGAACGAAGCTCCCAATGGGTTTGAAAGCCATCATGAAGCCATTTATAACCTGTAAGTTCAACACAAGAGGAGATATTTTGACATCTTAACTGTTGTTGTTGTTGTTGTTGTTGTTGTTGTTGTTGTCCCCTCGTAAGCCTACTGTATTCTTTGATTAAATCAATTATGATTTATTTGGGCCATTTACAGCACAATGATGTAACACCGACATACTGTATAGTATCATGATGAAAAGTTTTGCAAAAGGAGAAGAAATTAGCTTTAACTTGGAGAGCTGTTTATTTAAATCCAATAAAAATACTGTACATTTTACGACTGCACAATTATACGGTAATATAAAAATGGTTAACATGTTTGGAAAACGTATACATTTCCCTTTTTTTCAAATAAATAATAATAAACCAAAGACTGACAATACATTCATTCATTGAGTAAAGTGAAATATCAATATTTAATACAAGCAATACAATGAATTCAACCATTTATACTATTCTATTTTTGTTTAATTTTCTATTATTTTACACTTTTTACTTTGCTGATGCCTAATTGTTTTTCTACAAAAGTCTCGCCTGGAGGACAAATCATTATTTTCTTATTTTATCTAGTCATCATTTTAAATTCAGACACTAAGTAATTTAATTTAAAAAACCTGACGTTATGCATCCCAGTTCATCACAGTACCTGTCCCATGCTGTTGTGTGGGGACGGCGGTTGGTACGGGTTATGTGTGGGGTTTGGAGAATAGTTCCGGTATCCGGGGGTCGGCCAGTTGTTGCTCCATTCAGGGCTTTGGGTGGGGGGGGGAGGTTTAGGGTCTCCTGTCATCATACTGTGGAAGACTAGGCTTAGGGTGCCGTTATCTAAACTTGAGACCTCCGGCCTCAGCAGCAGCTCAGCTTTCTGCACTGGAGAAAGCAGGTGAAGAACCTCCAACTGAGGGGGAGAAGGATACGATGTGGAGGGAGAAGTGTGAGAAACGTAATCGTACACCGTGTCTTTTTAACTGAGTAAAAACTGCCAAGCGTGTGAGGGTGGCTTGGGATGTAAATCTTAGAAATCTTTAAGGCGAACTTAAGTGAACTCACTCCACTGAAGACCATGTTGAGTGATGAAAAGTCCTTAATTCTGGCCATGGCTTTGAACGCACCAAAATTCTTCATCAGCCACTCCTCACTGCTTTCGTCGTGGCTCACACATCCTGAGCAGAGAGAGACAATAAATATATATATCTCAAATCAAGAATCTAAAAATCATTTTGTCGGTTAAAGTTGTGTATTTATTATGCTATGTACATGCTACTATGAACTTAATTATTTAATAAATTAATCCATCAATGAGGTTTTGGTCACATTTGTTTGATGGAAACGTTGAAGTTAGTGTGTAAAATTGAACCCTTGGGGTAAGACCTCACCTCAAAATATTATTTAGTAAGATATTGTATTAAACCTACTAATAAAGAATGTGCCTTATATACATTAGTATATAGCTTAATATAACATAAAGTAGGCTACCTATAGATAGCCATAACATTATCAATTGTAGATTCAGCAGCTAGTTAGCACTATTAGCTATTTAGCTTGTAAGCTAACAATCATTAGCATTGCTTTAACAAACTTGCTGAAGGAAGTCCTCCTGAAATAAAACAGTTTTTAGTCTGAAGAAAAGTCTTAAAATAAACTTTAATCTGCTATATTCTATATATTCTTGGTAAAGATTTGGGATTTTAGTTCATTTCATTCATTGGGAGCCTATTTTTGTGCTAGCTTATTAGATAAAAAATGGCTCCTCCTAACACTGATTTGTAAATGTAATTTTAAGTTTCACTAATTTCCAACCACGTTTTAAGTTTACAGTACATTCAATGTGTTCCCTAGGGAAGCATCTTCCCTTATCGTCCCCTACTATCTACTACTAGTATTTTGTAGTAACAGTCTAATGAACATATAAAGTTTTACCGGCCACTCTGTCTCCAGACAGAAAGGGGTACATGAAGAATTGGTAGATCCACTTCTGTCGGACTGGATTCATCTCAGAATAATAGTAGCTGAGCTCCCTCACCCTGCAAGAACAGGTGATATCATGAGATAAGTTTTTGTAAAAAAGGAAATAGAAAAACACAGGTATAGAGAGAAAATGAGACATACATAGTCTGGTAGGTGGAGCAGCTGAAGTTCTTGGTGCTGAGGCAGGTCAGGAAGTGTTTGCTGATGGACTTCAGCAGAGGTTTTATCTTCACTTCTATCCACATCTGGACCAGGGCCTCGTTCTGGAGAGGATCTGCTTCAGGGTTTAATGCCAGCTCTCCCTGCAGGCTGAGGAGTGGCACTCCCCTCAAACTGGACTTCTGTGGATGTGGTAGGGGTGTAAAAAAACAAAAGGTGAGATGAGGAAGTGGTTGAAAGATAGTAGTTGTTATGCAGGTCAGGGGGGTCAAATCATACAGATAACCCAGGGAACCCATGCAAAAGTCAACAGATAATACATAAATATATGGATAATTAAGGAAGCTAATGGCTAATGAGTTATATTATGATACGTTCAAGCTCTAAGTAATCATATATGTTGTTGTTTTTAAGGCGAGAACCTTTAATAAATACCATTTCTTTAGAAGGATATGTCAGTTTGAGATGTTTTGTAGCAATATCCAATAGATACAAGAAAAAATTATGAACCAACTTCCAATAATCTAAGAATATTATTTTTGAATCAAAGCAAAAAGCAAATACAAAAAAAGATTTTTTATAATTTTATACAAGTAACCACTATGGATGAGAATAAATGAATGTAATATTATTATAATATCTGACAATTAACACTAAGTTTTGACTGTTAAAATAAGTTTTCAGGAAGTTGGTAAAGAACCTTTTGTCCCTTTGTCTAATATAAACTCTAATTGTAAGCCTGATATGAGTCATGAGTTTCCTTGAAAAGCTAATAATAAAAGTTCAAAATCACGTGAGACATAACACATCAGTTACACATAACTCATCGCTGTGCTAATCTTTCACGGACTGTATGTTTCTTCATAGCAGAAGAGAATAAAAGACATTACAACACCAACTGGTTAGGTGGGAATTTGTGACAGCATTCCTTCCTTTGCACGTCTACTGTGGAGCATTCCTGCAGACGTTTTGTTCTTTTCTTTTTTACCATGAAGGTGTACACGTCCATCGTCGCTTCAAGCATTCCCTTCAGCCGTCGCATATGGTCTCTCCCAGTTTCTTTGGGGGGTAATCCAACACACTGCAGGAAGTGAGAGGTGGGGTCTGGCATCTTGGCAAGAAGACCAAAAAGAAAAACTTGAGTGACTGATGAGGCAACTAGAGAACAGTTCATAAATCCTGAGCTATCATAATCAGTTCATATAATTAAATATGACAAATAATCAGTGTTGTGGAAGCTACCTTACACTTTAACCCTCCTATTGCCTTCGCCCCCCCCTGCTTTGGTGTTCCCGGTCCTGTTTTAACTGCTATTACATTAACACAAAAACCATTAATCATCACCAAATTTCATTCAACACCCTTTTTCAAACTGTAAATATTGTATCAGACTACTGGTATACATGAAGCACTGCAATAAATATACAAAGAATAGACACTGACACTGAACATGTATTGCGTGTGCCAGGTGTGATCCATGTGGGGGGATGGGCACATAAGAGCGGGACATGTATCAAATTGTTGTGTGTGTGTGTGTGTGTGTGTGTGTGTGTGTGTGTGTGTGTGTGTGTGTGTGTGTGTGTGTGTGTGTGTGTATGTATGTGTGTATGTGTGTGTATTTGTGTGTGTGTCTCTCTTTGGGTTTGTGTGTGTGTGTGTGTGTGTGTGTGTGTGTGTGTGTGTGTGTGTGTGTGTGTGTGTGTGTGTGTGTGTGTG